TAGGGCACACAAGAAATCATTATCCTCACAACCCTGACATTAGAGGATCCATATCTCATCATTAATTGTATTAAACTTTTGTACTATCTTTCATCCATTCAATAAAAGTTCTATTCACTTACATCTTATTTTTTTTCTTTTACATTTTAAATATATATTTCATTTAGTCTAAACATATTTTTACTATAAATTATTCTTTAATCATATAATAGTAACTTAAGAAAGCTAAAATCTATAATAGGAGTGTGACTTTTTGGAACTTATAAGTGGGGTTGTGAGTGTGATAAAAATGAGATAATCATATTTTCGTGTAATATTCCAAACAATAAAAACAATGGACTCGAATTTTTTAAGACATTAATATAAATTTAACAAAATTATGAAAATCTTAACAAGAACACAACTTTATTTTCGAAAATGTTTCAACACACAAACATAATTTTTTAGATTTTTATTATCCTCCTAATTTAATATTTATTTATAAAAAAATATTACAATATCAAATAAATAAAAAATTAAAAAAAAGTAATCATACAAATAAAATATAAATATAATATTTAATAATATATTTTAAAAATATTATTTTACTACTTTCAACAATAAATCTAAATATATTATTAATCTAATAAATATATAAATCTTTTTAAAAATATAATTTAAAACTATAAATTTTAAATAAAACATTATAATATTATATATATATATATATATATATATATTATTTTACTTAATATATATTTAAAAAATTAATCAATTATTTTTTCAATTACTGAATTATAATCGATTAGTTTTTCAAGTAATCGATTACTTTTTTAAATAATAAAGTATAATCGATTAAATTTTCAAATATAAATTAAATAATTACAAATAAAAATATATATCAAAATAAATTAAAATAAAATAATTATTCATATATTATATAAAATATAATTATAAGATTAAAAAAATTATATTTAGAATTATAATCTTAAATTAAATTATAATTATAAAATTAATAAAAATATAACAATCTTTAATGTTAAATAAATTATATATATTACATAAATTATAATTATATATATATATATATATATATATTACATAAATTAAAATTACATATGAACTTTAAATTAGTTATATATATATATATATATATATATATATTTATTTATTTGTATAAACTAAAATAAAAATGATCAACTTAAAAAAAATATTTAGAATTATAATATATATATATATATATATATATATATTCCAAAATATAATTATTTTCATTTCTAATATATATATATATATATATATATATATATATATATATATTCCAAAATATTACAAAACACACAAAAAACAATACATTTCAAAAATATAATTTTACATCAAAATATTATTTCATCTTATATACATATAAATTTTAAGATTTTTATTATCCTCCTAATTTATTATTAATTTCTAAAAAAATATTACAATATCAAATAAATCAAAGAATTAAAAAAATAATCATAATAAAATATAAATATAATATTTAATAATATATTTTAAAAATATTATTTTACTATTTTTAACAATAAATCTAAATATATTATTAATCTAATAAATATGTAAATCTTTTTAAAACTACACTTTAAAATTATAAATTTTAAATAAAATATTATAATATTATATATATATATAGTTTTATTTAATGTATATTTAAAAATTAATCGATTATTTTAAAAATTAATATATTAATTTTTCAATTACTGATAGATTAATTTTTATTATTATTTTTATATAATTGGTTATAATCGATTAATTTTTTAAATAATCAATTAGTTTTCAAATATACATTAAATAATTATAAATAAAAATACATGTCAAAATAAAAAAATTTATTTATAAATTATATATAAATTATAAATTATAATTAAAAAGTTAAAAATTTTTATTTAAAATTATAACCTTAAAAAAATTTATAATTATAAATAAAAACATAACTATTTTTAATGTTAAATAAATTATATACATTATATAAATTATAATTATATATATATATATATATATATATATTATATATGAACTTCAAATTAATTAATTATATATATATATATATTATAATTCTAAATATAATTTATGCAAAATATATATATATATATATATATATATTCCAAAATAAAACTTTATTTTTCTAAAATATAATATATATATATATATATATATATATATATATATCTTCCAAAATATTACAAAATAAAAAAAATACATTTCAAAAATATAATTTTACATCAAAATATCATTTCATCTTATATACATATAATTTTTAAGATTTTGTTATACTCCTAATTTATTATTAATTTATAAAAAAATATTACAATATCAAATAAATCAAAAAATTAAAAAATTAAAAAAATGTAATCATACAAATAAAATATTTAATAATATATTTAAAAAATATTTTATTACTTTCAACAATAAATCTAAATATATTATTAATCTACTAAATATATAAATTTTTTTAAAACTATAATTTAAAACTATAAAATTTAAATTCAATATTATAATATTATATATATATATATATATATATATTATTTTACTTAACGTAAATCGATTAGTTTTTTCAATTACTTTTTCCGGCCAATTACTTTTTAAAATAATTGATTAATTTTTTTAAATAATTGATTAATTTTTTCAAATATACATTAAATAATTACAAATAAAAATATATATATAAAATAAAAATATATTTATAATTATAACCTTTAAAAAAATTATAATTATAATATTAATAAAAATATAATTATTTATAATATTGAATAAATTATATTATATATATATATATATATTACATAAATTAAAATAATAATTATCAACTTAAAAATAAATTATATTTAAAATATATATTACAAAATATTACAAAACAAAAAAAAATTCAAAAATATAATTTTACATCATAATATTATTTCATTATATATATATATATATATATATATATATATATTTTAAGATTTTTATTATTCTCCTAATTTATTATTAATTTTTAAAAAAAATATTACAATATCAAATAAATTAAAGAATTAGAAAAAAATTAACCATATAAATATAATATTTAATAATATATTTTAAATGTATTATTTTACTGCTTTCAACAAAAAATCTAAATATATTGTTAATTTAAAATATATATAAATCTTTTTAAAATTATAATTTAAAACTATACATTTTAAATAAAAATATATATATATATATATATATATATATATATATATATATATATATATACTAGTTAGTTTTTCTTTCTTAAGAAAATAAAAAAAATTTCAAAATTCGGTTGCTGAAAACCAAATTTTAAATGGTTTAAAGAAAAAAAATATATATATATATATATATATATAAATAACTATGTTCAGGTTTGTGTATATCAAATTCTCAATTAAAAAAAGAAACAGTACTATGTAAGTAAATAATATCATTGAGTAATTAAAAAATGAGTATGTATTACTGGAGAAAAAACGAGGACTTGATTTTTACATTGCTATACAAAAAACACATGTATTTATTGAGGAACTAAAAATATAAACAACCTCTTTGAATTTTGAAAAGAAAAAAAAGTTTAAAGGAAAATAAATATCAAATCATATTAGTTAAAGCCGAAACTTTGAACCTTTAAACATTAAGAAATCAAATAACCTAAATAAATAAATAAATAAATAATAACAAAAGCGCCCGCTAAAAGAAAATAAAGTGATACACAATCACAATGTATATCAACCATATGGCAACATGCCCAAATAAAGTATATCTACATAAAACTAGAAAGATATAAAGAATTTTAACCTTTTTATAAACTTAAACTAACTTACATAAAACTAATTTAAACAAACTTTATTATATATTTTTTTCTAAAATATTAATTTTAATTTAAATATAGAACAATTTTAATTTTAAAATAATAATTCCAATTTTTATATTTTATTCTCATAAATTTCCTTGTAAAGAACTCTTCCAAACATCATTTTATATTTACTATAGCAAACTCAATGATAAAAATAATGTGATCACCAATGTACACACATGGAAAAACTTCAGAAACCCCTTTCAACCTTACATAACAATCAGAACAAAATTATTCGGTAAAGCAGCACACGAATGAAGTTTACAAAACCTTGACGCTGATTCGAAACCATTGTAAAATAAACTTTTTAAATTGAAATGAAAATGTAATCAAAAGGTACAGAAGTAAATAACAAACCTAAATGCTATTTTATCATAAATAATCCTACCTGAAATCTAACTAGACCATACCTTACAAGATCACGCTTACAATCAAACAAGACTTACCTTTAAAGACCGTACTTCAAGTAAGAATATTTTTACCATAATGTTCATTCCTAAGAATACTTTTCTCATGAAGATTACCAAATTTGGCGATGTCTAATTTTGTGAAACAAAAAAGGTTTTAACTATTTTCTACCAAAAAACAGATCAAACTTAAAAAACGTACTTTCCCTCCTATACAAAACTTACTTTGCTAAAACATCAACTTCACAATTGTATACACTTCATCTTAACACAATGCCAATTTTTTAGAAATGTTCCTTACCAAAGAAAACATGATTTTAATAAGAAACCCTACAAATACAAATTCCATAAAATTGAAAATAGAAACCCTCTTCACATCCAAGTGGATGCTTCAATTTTAAAAAATGTAAAATATTTTGTGCAACTTACATAAAATAATATTTTTAGTACGAAACTCCGATGTGAAGCTTATATGTGAGATGTTTATGTGCTGCAGACGATGAAAAAATAACTCATCATAACATATAAAAAAATTTTCAATAGACTCCTCCTTTATAATAAAGTCACAGGACAACAAAGAAAACCAGGAAATTGTGATATAGTTTTCTGTCAACACATCCACAAACACCATTGTTAAGACTAGTCTGACTAGAATCTATAAGCCAGGTCTTGAACAGAGCAATATAAAAGTTTACAAAAATATTTTTGCTTAAATAAAAACAACAAACAGACAGCACCAAAAGCTAGTTCTTCGGCCCAATATCCTTCAGGGCACAAATCTGTTCCTCACCCATAGCAGACATGACAGACACAACAAGGTCTTTGCCCTCGGCAAACCCATCCTTTATCTGAAAATAGAAATCAATAATACACTCCCTATCAGACAAAATACACACATTGTCAAACCAAAAATGGAACAATCATCAGAATTGAGCCAACCTGAGTCAGCAGACTATCATCAGTGGGGAGTCTGAGGTCATCCTTAGTGTTCCCATTTTCAGTAAGCAGACTCACCTAAAACATAATTTAGTAGCAAACCCATGTTCAGATTTCATAACAGAAGCACAACAAATTTTACTACTTTCAACTTCGAAAAAGGGAAAACAAAAGAAAACTGAACAGAAACATCAACTCACAAATCCATCCTCAGAGATATCAATGAGCTGGTAGTCAGTACGATTCACATGAGGAACCTAACATAAAATTTGCAAGAACATAAGAATGTTAGGTTAATCTACTATTAAAAGTGAAAACTACAAAAATTAAGCGGCGTGCATACATCACAGTTGTGAGAGGAGGGCACAATATCCTCAAGTTTCTTGGCAGTAAAAATATCAATTCCAACAAAGTGACACTTAGCGTGACCGTGCTTTCCAGTTTTGGAAGTCGAAACTTCCACAACCTGTTAATGATACATACATAATTAGAAGAAGCCACAAAAATCAGCATCCCATACACAACATAAGAAGATTGGAACGAATAATCAATAAATTAATGGCGGCGACCGTGGATCTAATAACCGGAATCAAATCAATAAACGAAGAAAACAAAAGAAAAAACAAATTAGGGTTTTAAAAAGTGATTGACCTTGCAGGGACGGCCTTTGATGACGATGTAACCGTTCTTGCGGATTGTACCGGCTTGCTGGGGATAGGTTTTGGAGGCTCCGGCGTCAGCCTTAGACTCGAAATGGTGTTCTTCGTCCGACATGGTTGGGATTACAGGGGATTTGGAAAGTGGCGGAGAAGTGCAAATGATGAAACGGAAGTAAAGATATTCGAGTCTATATAAGATATTCCTTCGCCACCAAATTGAACCTATCCAGCTAGGGTTTTATTTTTCTTTGTCTACCCAGATCTTCTTCATTTTGGTTTTACACCGTTGGATCTTTCTCATACGCGTCAGATGGACGCTATTATTATTGGGCTTCAGCCCAGCAATAAAATCAGCTGCCTTTTTATTTATTTATTTATATAATTAAAAAACTAAACTAATTTCATCTTGACTTATTAAAACGCCTGATTATCAATTTTTGTTCCCTAATTTTTTTATTAATAAAAGTTTCCATCAAAATTCTTAATTTATAAAATCATTTATGCGCTAAAAAAAAAAATTGATTTCTAAACATCTTCGCTAGATATAGATAATGACAGTTTTTCGTGAATCAATAAAAAATTGATAATTTAACTTGATTTTTATTTAAAAATTATCCAAATATTTTAGTTTAAAGTGATTATATTAGGCCAACATATTACTGAGTTAAATTTTTTTAATATTAATATATATACAAAATTAATTAATTAACAAAATATTCAAATAAAAAAATAAATTTATAAATAAAATTAGTTATTATTTAAAACATAATGCTTTATACTTAAATTATAAAAAAATATATTTATTTAATTTCAAAATAATAATTAAAAGTTTATTCTTTATTATCATTATTTATTTTTTAATAATTTATTAATTTTAAAATTATTTAAATTAATTATTAAATTTTATAACAATATTAAATATTTATTTTTAAAATAAATAAATTTTTATTAAATTAATTTATAATATTTATATACTTTAATAAAATAATATTTTTATTTAAAAAATAATTATTGTTTTATAAAATTGAACAGTCAATTATCTTAAAAATTAATGTAATCTAAATAGATAACATCTAGATTAATCTAATTTAAATAGATAAAATTAAAAGAAATTTGATTGAATTTAAATCTTTTTTTTCACAAATTTAACATAATTCTCAAACCTGTGTATTGGACTAAATATATTTTTACAACTCACTTAATGCAAATCATTGAAATTGCAAATTTCCCCGGGCATGCACTTTTCTTAACATTATGATTCATACATTTAAAACATACCTAGAAAAGAAAAATCAATTGTCTAATAAGAAAAGCATATCATAAAGTGCCTCAAAATTCTTGTACCAGAATTGCTTCACGAGGCATTTCATATGCATTTTTGGGCCTTGATTTCTTAACTCCAGCAGTGGTAGTGAACCACACTTTGTCAGACTTGTAACTCTCAACAGCAACACTGGTAACCTTGACCCACACAAGAACCTTTGTCTTCATTCCATCTATAACAGTGAGCTTTCCCTTTGATAATGTCCCTTTGATGCGATTTGCATACCTCACAATGGATGAGTCCTTGAAACACACCTCACAGGGAGAGGACAAATACACGACCAACTTTCCTCTCAATACATCGAACTCGTAGCATGTTATGTTACGGGGGAACAGACCAGGAGGAAGGTTGTACTCTCGAAGGAGATCTGGCAAAACCTTCTGGGATTTTCCTATTCATCATAAAACATGTTTGTTATTACCATTTATCATCCTCTCTCCCACCCTCCATTTGAAATGGTTATCTTAGAGTAGTTTGACAATTTTAATTAATAGAAAAGAATGTGTTAAGACAGTTTGAGAATGTGTGTTAGATCAGTAATAAACACCAGGTAGAAATTACCTTTGAGCTTGTTGATGAAAAGTTTTGCCTTCTCTTCCACAGTATTCGAGAGAGACTGAAATTGCAAGCACCGTGTAAGCATTCTTGTACAAAAGATATTCAATCTCAGCAACAAATCAATTTACGTATAATTTTCAAGGTGTTTCAGACACAAAGTTAAGATTTGGAAGTGGTCTTAAACAGATGAAAATTTTCAGACAGAAAAAAAAAAAGAAAAAAGGCTGAGACATGCATACTGATAGATCATCGGTTATGTGGGAAATCTCTGCCTTGGCTTTCTTGGAGATCCAAGCACTTCCAAGTTTAGTGAGAGCGTTATCCATTTTCCTGCAACTTTTCCAATTCTCTCTCTCATTGAAAGAAAGGAAAATCATGTTTAAACACTCTGGTATGGAATGCGTCTCTATCATGGACGGTAAGCCAGACAACTCAAGACGCGGCATAGATATTTCAAATAAAAACTACAAAAGATAAATCACTCGAAGTGAAAACATCATCGTATAAGGATAAACTCAAAAATTTGATTTTGAGATTAATATGGAAAAACAGGACTAACACACACCGAAGGGGAAAATAAAGATTCATATTAAAAAAATATATTAGTTTTGTTTTGTTTTGACTATCTTCAATGTTGCAGCTAGGAGTTTAGCTTGCCTTCTAATATAAATTAACAGTAATTTGAGTGAGGTTATGGCTATAATTGTTGTATAGGTGGGTGATGTTTCACATTCAATCATAGAACATGTCAAGCAAACAATGATGTCCCAACTTCAATGTTAAATCTCGATATAAAAGTTATACCATTACCCGATGTATTTAATTTTTTTTTTCAGACATTACGTAAAGATACTCTTGTACATTTTCAACCAAAAAATAATATGTAAATTTTTTTAACTTGAATATTACTTAATTTTTTAATTTTGATTCATTATAAGATTCAGTTCAAATTTAAATTGTAATAGTTTTTTTTTATGAATAAGAAGAGTTAGACACATTAAATAAATAGTTTATAATAATTTATGTACGCATCTTATTTTATTAATATTTTGATTTCTTTATAAATTTTGTGAGTTTGAATATTTGTAGGATCTAACAAATAATTCTTTAGCCACTACAAAATTGCAACCCAGACGTAATATAAGTTGTTAGCACTTTTAAGCATATTATATGAGTTTGGAACTTGATAATACTAATAAAATAAATTGTTTTTTTGTAAGAGTTAGAGGTATAACTTCTAAGGAGAAATTTTGATTTTAGTATAATAAATAACATGTTATGCGTTAAATTAGGCTTTTGTACCAATTATTAAATATTGTTCTGAATATAAACCTAAATTAATTTTCGACCATGACATAATGTAGCATGTTCTGGAACATTCAGAGAAAGATCCTTTTAGAATGAGACAGCTTGCAAATACATGAAAAATAGGGATAAATTAGACATTTTAAACCTTATTTTGTTTAAGTCAGTTCTGAATAATATGAGTCATTGTGGGATGGGGCAGATTGTTTCATATTATTATTTTAAATATTTAAATTAATAAATTATTTATAAATTTTTATATTATCTAGTTTAATTATTTTTTATTTATTAATATTTGTGTTAATAATTTTCAATATTTAAGTGTATTTAAGTTATTATTTATTAATTTTAAGTTATTATTCTAATTACATTTTTTTAATTATTTTTTTTAATTTTATTTGAAATTAATTGTTATTCAAAAGATCGTGAAGTAATTAGGCAAATCTTGTATTATTATTCGAAACAAATATAAAAGAGAAATAAAAAATTAAAGACTAAATATATTAAAATTAAAAAATAATTAATTAAAATTTATATCAATTAAATTTTCTATTTGAGAAATATTATTATATTTTTTTATATCTATAAACAAAACAAATATGAAAGAGGAATAAAAAAATTATGAAATTAAAGACTAAATTTATTCAAATAAAAAATAGTTAATTAAAATTTATATCAATTAAATTTTTTCATTTGTGTAATATTATTATATTTTTTTATATCTATAAACTGAAATATTATGAAAACAATAATACAAAACAAACAATATTTTTATTGCATAATGTGAAGTATTTTTTATTTTTGTAATTATTACATGGTCAACATGTATAATATGTAATTCTCACTTTATAATCCCTATATCTTTTAATATATATTTTCTTAAGAAATAATTGAAAAAAAATAAGAGTCATTGTCCTTTTGTTAATAGCTAAAATTTCAAGCTAAAACAATATCTCTAATAAAAATAATTTATATAATTACATTAGAGATGGAAATAAGGATATATATTTAAATACGTATTACACGAAGAATCCAATCATTAAAGTTCATTGCAAAGAAAGAAACAATAATTACAATTTAACAATTAAAATATTTAACAAGACAAACAAAGGAATACTTTTTCCACACCATCCATATACAATTGCACATGAGACAGAGACGATAGAAAACATACAAGTAAAACATCATAAATAAAAACACTATAGAACAGGAAAAGTATTTGCATGGAAATGTACAAGTTCAGAGGGCACAGCATAAACCAACATTTTTTTCCTTCCACCCGACAATTCCAAGAACCAAACAAGAATAATTCTTCGACGGCCATACTCCATGACATGTTCACAACATTGTTTTATCCGTAATGCTAGTCTCCATTAATACAACTTCCAAAACAGACTTCCATCATGATAACTTCAATGTTTTTTCTGTCCCTTCATCCTATTCTCTCTGCCTTTTTCTTCCCATTTTCCTTCCAACCATACCTCCAACCCTCGAGTCAGGTATCTTCTTATCCTCTCTGATACCTTCTTCTTTTACTTTTTACGATGGGGCCTTACATTTTTCCACATCACACAGACACAAATTATTTTATATATGCTTATATCTATCTTACATAAGACTTCTTAACATGAAACTGATCTTTACCCATGTGCTTGCATATAAAATAAAGACATGGGATTAAGTAGTTTTTAAGTTCTTATATCTTTCATTTCCTAGTTCTTTCAACTATGTTGAACAGTTCTGTGTTTGATGCTCTTTTTACCATGTTTGACAGATATATATGTGCAACCTATGTGTCTATTTTATTAATATTATGTTTTGTGTTGTTTTTCCTACGTTCAGATTATTATTACCTGGAGATTTTTGAGTTATTTTTTACTTTCTTGTACAACACTGGTGGTGCACACTCTAGTTTTGCAAAAATCATGGGTAGTGAGATAGATACTAAATCAATTGAACCAGTTCGGACTGCTGTCTCTTTGTTTGGAGATAAAGGGGATCAGAAGAAATATCAACCTACGAGGAGTAAGGTAAGATCAGCAACAAATATAGTTTTAAAGGGTTTTTAGAGTATCATAAAAAGTTAGTTTCATATACAAAATACAGTATCTATACACTTGACATTGTGATGTTTAATTGTTAGTCTCGTTCATTCGGGTAGATTAGATTCACTAATATCATACGATGTCGATATCTGAATTCATGATTTTGCTTATTTTTGGTCAGAGTGATTGTGGAAAAGAATTTGATGAGTTGACAAAGGAATTGGCCAACTGTAAGGTACAACTAGAAGCAAAGCATGCTGCACACATGCAAGCACTTCTTAAGCTGGAGCACAACCAAAAGATGATTCACGAATTGTCCACCCTATTGAAGAAATCTGACATTGAAAGAAACAAGAACATGAACGAATGTTCAGGATGTAGATCTTGCAAAGATGAACTTGAATCCAAGATGAAAGAGATGGTTGATCAGAGTTTGGAGGCTGCGAAGGTCCGGGACCAGTTTTCACATGTTTTAAGCGAATTGAAGACCACACAAAGGGAGCTTCTTAACAAAGAAACAGAACTTGTTGCTGCCAGAGATTCAGAACTGAACGCTTTGACAAAAGCAAAACAATTGGAAGCCGCCTTGGAGGTTGAAAATGAACACAAAGAAGAAATTCTGCAGCATCTGAAGGAGCTCACTGAAGTTATTCACAATTCAAAACTTGATGCCATTAAAGCTGAGAAAGAGAAGTTAGTTTTATTGTGTGAAAAGGATGAGCAGATTGAGTTCGCTACAAAAGCTACTGCTCAAGTACAACAACAGCTAGAGGATATGAGAAAGCAAGTGGAAATATTACAGGAATTACAAAATCAACCAAAGGATTTGTCTACACTGGTTGATTCTCTTCCCTTGGAACATATTCAAGCTGATGAAAAACTCGTTTTATCTGAGGATTCTGCTCCCAAAGGCATAAACGACTCAGACCAATTAACCATTGACATGGAACTAAAGGAGAGAAAGATAATGGATCAATCTGTGTACATTCATACACTAGAAATGGTATTGAATCAGTTAAAGCAAGAGGTTACTGTTGCAAAGGGAGAAATAAATGCCTTGAATCTTACTAATGAATCACTCACAAGTGAGTTAAAAGAGGCTAAGGAAGAACTAAACATGAACAAGGGGAGCGACATTGAAGCACAATTGGAAATTGCATTGCTGAAGTCTCAGCTGCATGAACATTGGCTGGAGGCAGAAGCTGAAGAGAGAAATAGTGAGAAGAACAATGAGCATGTGATAGGGGAAGTTGGAGGATTTTCAGAGTTAGCATTGATGAAAAAGGAGCTGGAAAATGCATCGATGAAAATATCGGAGTTGAGGGCTCGTGCAGAACAGGCTCTAAGCAGGGCTGAGTTAGCTGAGAATGGTAAAGCAGCATTAGAGGACAAAATAAGAAGACGTAGGGAACAAAGGCACAGAAGGAGGCTTGCTCTCACAGCACTTAGGGAGGAATCTACCCCTAAACCATTTAGTCCTTCCTCCTCACATGGAACACCTGGAACCTACCAGCCCTTAGGTAAGGTTCTCAACATGAAGTTGTGAAAATCTAACCCACATGTATGTTAGTTGTCTCTTCTGTTAGTTGTTCATTACATTTAGTTGCAGTGTTCCTGAAATATTTGCCGAATCCAGCACTACGAACACATCGTTTGGTCTTACTTTATATTGCAATATTATTCTTATCCCAAGACATTGTATGTTTAAGGTGTGTATATGAAACAGAGAGGCAACCAGAAATAAACATCCCAAAAATATTTATTTTAATAAAATATTTAAAATATGAATTCCCCTTATACATATACTTATATACTGATCATAAAATAAATTAAGCCTTTTCCAAATAAAATTCAAAGTTATGAATAATAATTATTAATTTCACATGTTACATAAAATATTCATAATTTTTTAATAAAAATTTGTATGTCAACATCTAGTATACGTCACATATTTTGAACTTTTACGTCTTATATAGTCTCATACAAATGACATTAAAATAGGAGATGTAACTTTACGTTGGTCCTTTTGACCGATATAAATTCACGTCGATTATCGATACCCGATGTTAATCTACATTACATATATCACTAAATAGACGTAAAAGACTTAAAAAATTTTAAAATTTGACGAAATTTACATCGTACATGCATACGTGCACGAACTTACGATACTTACACGTCCATTTAATTTTATTATGTGTATATTTTGTCTTACAATCAAAACCTGTAAACATATATTAGAATCGACAGTCTAGATGTTTAAGTTTCTTTAGCTAGTAAATAAAAAATACGATATTATATATAATTCAAACTACAGAAATTAAATTACAACACCATGCTAGTTCAAAAACTAGGCTACCTAAATTACATAATCAAACAATGTAATACAAATAATAACCTACAAACTAAAATGTAGTACAAATTAAGCTACCTAAACTATATAATATACACAATATAATATCAACGATAACTACAAACTAAGTCTAAAATTGTTGAACGAAAAACTTTGTCTATTGTCCTCTAATTTGTGTGATATCATGTTCTGGTAATAAAGATGAATCTTGAAAAACCTAAAACATTAATTTGACTCTTGTAAACATGCAACACGCATAAAGTTAAATAAACTTAATTAATGTTGAAAGCAATTACCTCCGTTCAAAAATCAGTTATACTCGCACAAACTATGACTCTCATCCAATACATGACATAGTAACCACATTCAAATGAGTCTATTTGCTTATTACACTGAAATGATGAATAAAACATAATATTATTTTGAAAATTTAAAATACAAACAATAATTATGGTGTTCACTTATATAAATAAGTTTCTAACTTTAGGATAAATGAACTGCAAACTCTTTGTTCTGGGTCTTCCACTTAGAAGATTAATTCCAGACATGATTCTAATTGAAAAAAAGTCATATATTATTCAATATGTATTTACACTTTAAAAACATAATTTATGAATAAAAGATAAAGTTGTCCTTATAACAAACTTTTCATTTCTTGACTCGATTTCCGGTGTAATGAACAAAATCACACCACAATGTAATCTCGGGGTATGATTACAAATAATTGCCAATGGGACTTATATTATATGACATAAAAATTAGTTATAAAAATACAAATTAACATGATGACAAAAATACAAATTAAAATACTAATCATTTAATGTATGAAGCCAAATATATATGTCTTTTTGAATCACTCATCCATGTTTGCATATATCGTTGGATTTCGACCTTTATATTTCCAGTTTTTGGATGGATTGAGGCTCAATAAATCCATATACTTCAGATTTTTCTTGATCCACACTTAATTTGTCAATGTACCTAAAACAATGAATTATAAGTTGAATATAATTATTATAATCTTAGAAACATAAATGAAAATGACTTACATTGCCTACAATTGTATGATGGATATGTTTAACATGCAGTTTCCCCAACAATTTCTAATGCATCGGGCAAGGAAATGTATAATGGAACAATGGAATTGTCAATTCCAAACATTCTATATACGATATGGATGATTAGAAACTAGAAATTTTCGATGCCTATTGTACGCAGTCTTTTGTCCATGTTTCAATTGGATATAACTTGTATCTTCTTGACATAAAGAGCACACAAAATGACCTTTCACACTATAACCGCTCAAATTACCATATGCTGGAAAATCATTTATTATGAAAAATAACATTGCATGCAACCTGAAATTCACTTCATGATATGAATCAAATATCTCCGCTCATGTTTCCCACAACATCTTCAAATCATCAGTTAAAAGACTAAAATATACATCTGTCATTTCTTGGTTGTCGAGGTCCTGAAATTGACAACATAATATATTTTCTCTTCATGCATAACCAAGGAGACAAATTACAAATGATCAACAAAACTGGGCATAAATTATGTTTACTACTTAAATTCCCATAAGGATTCATTCCATCTTTAGTTAATCCAATTCTCAAGTTTCTTGACTCTGTACCAAATTCTGGAAATGTTTCATTAATCCTTTTTCATTGTGGAGAATCAACTGGATGCCGAAAAAGATTGTCACATTTTCTACCATTTACATGTCATGTCAAGTTTTTTGCATCTTCTTTTATGGCAAATAATCTTTTAAACCTAGGTATTATTGGCAAATACCCTAGCACCTTAGCAAGGGGGTCATCTAGTTCTTCCTCACCACTACTTCCGTCAACTTTGTTTTTGAACCGCGACAAACCACATGTCGTACAAATCTTTAACGTAGCAAAATCATTTCTGTATAATATACAATCATTAGGATGTGCATGTATCTTCTTGTACTCTAAACTCATTGGACATAATATCTTATTTGTCTCATAGTTATGAATAGGTAATATATTATCTTCGGGAAACATCTCTTTCAACAACTCCAATAATTCGGTGAAACTTTTATCAATCCAACCATTTATTGCTTTTAAACTAAATAATCTTAAAGTTATTGATAATTTTGTAAAAATACATCTTATATATAATTGTTGCTCAAAATCAGATTTCAAATAATCATATAGATGTGCTTTCATAAAATTTTCTTCATCAATATCACGTATCATATCCTTTAGATTATCATTCATCCCTTCGTCAAATTTTTCTGTTGTTGACATAGTTAGGATGTCTAATATTTCTCCATGTCATGTCCATATTGTATAACTCTTAATAGTATCATAAACAAACAAGTGATCAGGTATATCCTCAAGTTTATGATGAATTTGATTCAAACAACAAAAGCATGGACAATAATATGTCCCTTTCATAGCTTTTTCATTCTTGCTAGCAAATTTCAAAAATTTCTCAACTCCCTTTTCGTACTCTTCACTAATACGACGTGCATTCATCCACTTCGATTCATATATACTTATGTTATAAATTTCCGTCACTCCTAAAGATTCAAAATTTAAATTAAAAAAAATTAATATACAAAAACAACAAAGAAAGTGATTGAGACGTAAATAAAGTGTGTAAGCTGAAAATGCACTCAAAAAAATAAATAGATAATGACATTCCAATAATAATTCAATGGAGACATTCATGCAATAATGTGATTGAGATCCCAAAAACAATCACAGATTCAATATGAACATATCACAAGAGACATAGAACACTAACCTCGAGTATACACGAAAACGATTTAAAACTCGAATCCAATTAGGGAGAAACGTCAAATTCGAAAAATGGAACACAATGTGTATGTTTTTCACAGTCAAAATGGTCAAAAATGGTATGGAAAACGTCGTTGTCATCATCGTTCTTGTCGTTATTCGAAAAATCCTTGTTTTGTGAGACGAGGGAGTGACGTCGGGATAGAATAAAATACAACTTTACGTTGGACAAAAAAGATGACGTGAAAGACTCTTTTATGTCACTCTTTTAGGTCCGACATAAAAATCTCGCCTCATATTTACAAAGTTTTGACCACAGTTTTTAAAGTCAGATATTTTTTTATCTGACGGAACAAGATAACATACAAGGGTCATTTTCTATTAGTGCAATCCTATTTTTTAAGAAAAATATGATATTAAATATATTTTTAAATTTTATTTAATTAAAATGACATGTGCTAGCATATTTTAGATGATAACCAACAACTATCCAATATATTTTAAATTGGTCGTTACGCATTAAAAGCAAATTTTAAGAGATAAATAATTATTTAAATAAAAAATATGTTAGAACACATAATTAATGTTCTACAAGTAAGAAAATATAAAAATTACATAACAATTTTATTATTGGGTCTTCAACTTACATGAGTATAAAATCTATTATTTTATAGATATTACATAATTACATTAGAGGAAGTATCGTCAATATGCACATCGAATTCTTTTATTTTTTTACAAGAACTTTTGAGACTTACAAAATAATAATTAAAAAATAATTTTAAAATTCTATATCAAAGTCTAAGATCTACCATTAAATAATAAATAAATAAAATTTTTATTTCTATATGGCACCAAGATACGTAACAAAAATAATTCAAGATCTCATAATAAGATTTAATATACATATGTACATAGAGATTCAAGAGGAAAGATAGAAAAGATAATATTTATTAGTAAATCTCACAACTCAAACTATTAATCCCAGCAATACTTAAAATTAAATTTATCATATTATTAATAAAAAGTTTAATTCACAATTCATCTATAATAAAATTATATAACTCACAGAAAACATGATAAAAATCTCAAAAACAAATGATATTCAAATATTTTATTTTTAAATAATAATAATAATTCTTTCGACATAAAAACTAGAAAAAATAGTGATTTATGTACAAAATATAAATATTATTTATCCACACAATAAATAATAATAATAATAATAATAATAATAATAAAATACAATATCTTATCAAAAATATCTATTTAATTTCACAATATAAATTATTTTTAATGGTTATATATATATATATATATATATATATATATATATATATATATATATATGTAATTAGATTGCAAAAATTCAGGGACCAAGGCCCATAATCCCCACGTGGTTTCGTCTCTGTGTATGAA